ATTGGGTTATTTTGCCCCGGTTTAGTGGATAAACCCCTGGACTAAACTCTGCCCTAGAATGCACAGGGCGCAGACTGCCATTATCATCTGGTAATGATGTAACACAAGGCGTGTTCCCATTGGCTGAGCTCAGAGGTAAAGAATGTACCTACTCGTGGGAATACGTTCCAGAAATAGGTCACATCAAAGGAGACGTGGAGGAAAGAGTCCTGTAGAGTTTCAGTCTGCCCCTGGCATGTAAAGATAGGTCACCTTACCAGTCCAACACTGCTCGCACATAGATCCGAATCTCCACAACACACTCTGACTCATAACCATAAAGGAGACGACTTGTGGTTAAACACTCTACAATTAAAGACCACATTAATTACTACATAATAAGAACTCTCTATAATGTGTGTCAATGGAACACAGGAGTTCCCTGTACACTCCCCGGGTAAGTAGGCAAAACATTTCCTAATGCTTTTACAACTTAACTGCGGACCACCAGGCACCAGTCACTTCCTATATTGAAAGCCGTAAGCTCCTGGAGGAGGTTAATGGCGCCCAAATTAGTTGACGAACTGCTCACAAGCAGTTTGACTACTTAAACTGGGATGGTGTCATAGGACCACGTAGCGTTCTGTAGTGGTTATGGTGCAAATAACATATTTTAACAATTAATGGAATGGACGCTTTTATGGGCTGTCCACCGTGTTATGGAGGAGAATTGAAAATTCTCCAATTCAACAATTTAAAAAATATTTTAGCCTAAATGTGAAATTCTCTTTGAATTCCCACCAATTCCTTCTTTAGTGAGTAACCGTTTGTGGTCTTCCAAACAACGCAACATAAACAAAGTTTAACCTTAAATGGAAATAAAAACCTTAAAGATTTGTATGTTTTGTTTTCTAATTGAGTTCAGTTTCAGATCCCGAGTCTGCCCCCCAGGGGGTAGAAATTAGATGAGTTATAACTCAGACATCTAGGGTGCGGCTCATTTAATAAAAACATTGACTCAGGGCATTTACATGTAAAACAATATAAGAATTATTCATTACATAACCGTTAATTTTCTAAACAGGGAATCGTCGTCAAAACAGCTGTCACCAAGAAAAAAAAAAGGTCTCCAATTTGCTTCTATATGTGTCCGAATATTGCCTTTTTTTTTTCCTGAGCGCTCTAATTTTCTAAAAATACATAATTGAGAGATAATGATTAGTTTCCATTATGAACAGCAGTCAAATTGACAAAACCGGGCAATTAGCGGATCTTAAAACAATTTACCCAGAATCCATCAGTAAAAGAGAAGCCCACGGAAGGGCAGAGGTCGTAACCTCTGCCCTTCCGTGGGCTTCTCTTTACTGATGGTAAACGAGATGGTTTGAAGAGAACAAAATGGCTGCGCCCAGGTATTGAGATCCAATAAAGGACAATGAAGATAAGATGATACATATAAATAAACATTTGTCAAGGAGGGGAGTATAATCATTAAGATACAGAGCCATTATGGGAAAAAATGACAGGGCAGATTTAGTTGCAAATTAAGGTTTAAAAAGCAGATTTGAAGACATTCCACAATACAGCTATTTTTGACTATTTTCGAAAAAAAATTGAAATTCAGTTTTTTCAAGCAGATTTTTAGTGAATAAACCCCTAATTATACTGTTCCTTTAAGAAAGAGATCAGTTCACATGGGGTTTATATTCTAAACACTGAATTGCAGTGAAATAAAATAAATAAATTATTTAACAAAAATATAATGTTTTGGAAAGAATCCCCAACTCGGCTCGTGTCACAACTTGTTTATTTTAGCGTAAATTATGCAGTTCGGTGTTCGTCCACTATAAATTGATTTATAGTAAATAAATCCAAAAGTCAGTGTGGACTGCAATCCTCATAAGGCTCATCCGCCAAGTGGAATGCAAATACAGAACATAGATTAACACCATAAATGGAGTGAGGGTTTGTGGCCTCCAGGGGGCAGTGCTTTCATTTTGTTTGTTTTTATATATTTATAGTCTCTGAGTGAATATGGTGTATTGACTGGCAAACACTCAGCGCAGACGTTTTGTTTGGCACTGGGTTGCGTTGTAGATATTCCTAGTATCATTCTGAATTCCTTACAGGTGACAGAGCTGAACATCCCAGGATTTCCCCCTCTGTCTGTCGCTCAACCACAACCCCTCCTGTGAGTGACAAATCCGTTCTGTCCCACAGACACGGCGCGCCCCGGCCGCAGTAATACACAGAGTCCTGGGAAAGTGACGATGACGGCCTATTCACAACTTGTCACTCTCAGGAGTTTGTTGGCTAAAACTGAGATTTGTCAAAAAGACATAAAAACTGATTTTTTTAAGAAAAAAAACAACAGAATCATTCATAAAATTCATAGTGAATTTCGCTGGTTAGGGTAAAATAACCAAAATGGAAAAATTTGTCAAGACCCCTATGATTTCCAATCTGATGATCAAAGCTCTGATAGTGTCATTGTGTGTGTCTGTACCAGTCAGGAAATCTGTCTGTCAGCTCACCGGTGTCAGTCTGTCTGAGTGTACGTCGGAAGGCACGACACGTGCATTGTCACCTGGCTGAGTCACTTTGCACTGCGCTGCCAGACGTGTTTTACAAATCAATAGATTAAAGATACACACTCAGGACTCCTTTATGTGAATATGCCAACTCCCTGGGAGAGAGAGGCGGATACTGACATAATAGCTCTAAGGGGGGTACATTGCCAGCTGGTAACCTTACTCCTGAAGTGCCTTATTGTCATGGCACCATTTCAGTCAGCTCTCCAAAAAGCTCTTAATTGCAGTGAGGTGTTTTAATCAGCTCTGGGGGGTAACAGGGGAGGGAACATAAAGTACCTGAGACATATCTTGTCCACTTATCTGTTATTTACCTTCCCTTCATCCACTCACCTGTCTGTATCCCCCTTCATTAACTCATCCACTCACTTGTCAAACTAACCCCATTATAAACTCACCTGTCACACTATTCCCCCTTTATCCACTCACCTGTCACACTATCCCCCTATATCCACTCACCTGTCACACTAGCCCCTTTATAAACTCACCTGTCACACTATCCCCCTTTATAAACTCACCTGTCACACTACCCCCCCTTATCCACTCACCTGTCACACTATTCCCCTTTATCCACTCACCTGTCACACTACCCCCCTTTATTCACTCACCTGTCACACTACCCCCCTTTATCCACTCACCTGTCACACTACCCCCCTTTATCCACTCACCTGTCACACTAACCCCTTTATAAACTCACCTGTCACACTATCCCCCCTTTATCCACTCACCTGTCATACTACCCCCGTTATAAACTGTCACACTACCCCCCCTTTATCCACTCACCTGTCACACTGTTCCCCCTTTATAAACTCACCTGTCACACTGTTCCCCTTTATCCACTCACCTGTCACACTGCCCCCCTTTATCCACTCACCTGTCACACTGCCCCCTTTCTAAACTAACCTATCACAGTAACCCCTTCATCCAAACTCACCTGTCACACTTTATCCACTCACCGGTCACACTATCTCTCTTTATAAACTCACCTGTCACACTACCCCCCTTATCCACTCACCTGCCACACTATTCCCCTTTATACACTCACTCGTCACACTATCCTCCCTTTATTCACTCACCTGTCACACTATTCCCCCTTTATAAACTCACCTGTCACACTATCCCCCCTTTATTCACTCACCTGTCACAAAATCCCCCATTATAAACTCACCTGTCACACTACCCCCCTTTATCTACTCACCTGTCACACTATCCCCCATTATCCACTCACCTGTCACACTACCCCCCTTTATCCACTCACCTGTCACACTACCCCCCTTTATTCACTCACCTGTCACACTACCCCCCTTTATCCACTCACATGCTATCCCCCTTTATAGAGCTGCCCTGCCCCCTTTTATCCGCTCACCTGTCACACTGTTCCCCTTTATCCACTCACCTGTCACACTGCCCCCCTTTATCCACTCACCTGTCACACTGCCCCCTTTCTAAACTAACCTATCACAGTAACCCCTTCATCCAAACTCACCTGTCACACTTTATCCACTCACCTGTCACACTATCCCCCTTATAAAGTCACCTGTCACACTACCCCCCTTTATCCACTCACCTGTCACACTATTCCCCTTTATCCACTCACCTGTCACACTATCCCCCTTTATTCACTCACCTGTCACACTATCCCCCTTTATTCACTCACCTGTCACACTATTCCCCTTTATAAACTCACCTGTCACACTATTCCCCCTTTATCCACTCACCTGTCACACTATTCCCCTTTATCCACTCACCTGTCACTATCCCCCTTTATTCCTCTGTCACTATCCCCATTATTCACTCACCTGTCACACTATCCCCTTTATCCACTCACCTGTCCCACACTACCCCCTTTATTCACTCACCTGTCCACACTATTCCCCTTTATTCACTCACCTGTTACACTATCCCCCTTGTTCACTCACCTGTCACACTATCCCCGTTATAAACTCACCTGTCACACTATCCCCCTTTACCAACTCAGCTGTCACACTATCCCCCCTTTATTCACTCACCTGTCACACTATCCCCCTTTATTCATTCATCTGCCACACTACCCCCTTTATTCATTCATCTGCCACACTACCCCCTTTATTCATTCACCTATCTGAGTAACCCCTTCATCCAAACTCACCTGTCCCTCTGCCCCCCTCCCTCCCACTATTTCATTCATACTTGACTCATGCAGGTATGCTGCTGCTGTTTGTACACACTCACCCCTTTGTCCCTCCTTCCTAGTTGTTTCCTTAGAAAGAAGGAAGCAGGAATGAAGCACTCAGGGACCGGGTCGGCAGGCATGCAGGTGACAGGCAAAGCAGGGGGTGTGTGACGCTTGGAGATTTCCACATAGGGGAAAGAAATGGGGGGGGTGGAAAGATATAAAAAGATTTCCCCTGCAGGGCAGGTGTATCACAGGTGTAAGGTCCTGAGGACAGGATGCTGACTGCAACAGGTGAGTCTGTTAGTGCATCTTTCTGGGCTGAAGGAGCTAAGTAATGAGCCTATGGGACACAATGCTGGACTAGCGGGCAGGGAATAGGGTAAGGATTTCACTAAGATCCAATTGCAAATTTTTTTTTTTTAAATTTCAGTTATAATAAAGCATAAATACACATACGCACTCCTAGGATAATACATGAAATGTAAGGGTCACACAAAGCATCCCCCAGTATTGTTTTATGAATATGTGTTTTATATGTGATGTGAGATTTATTGTTTAACCAACTCTGCTTGGCGGCAGATCCACTTTACTACACTCAGTTCATAAAGCAGAAAATTGACATCATGTGCAGATAATATTTTGTGAAGTATATATTTATATATTTACCTGCTGCAGCCCTAGTTATTTATATTTATACAAAGTGCTCTCCGTGTCCCCTGTAGTGTTTGCGGTGCTAGGTGTCACTCTCTGCTGTGGACAAGAACTATCCCCTGCGCCAGAAACTGAGATTATCACACAAATCCGCAGCCAAACTGTCTACCTACAGGGCAACGCAACATCGCTGCTCAATACATTTGTGAGTATTTTCCCTTAAATGCAGCATCACCCATCCTGCATCCCTGCAGAACATTGCAGCTCTAACCGCTTCCCTGCAGAGCAATACCCCCCCTTTATGCATCCTTTCCAATACAGAGCAATGCATGGCTTTTACTACCCTCCCATACAGAGCAATGCATGGCTTTTATCCCCTCTTCCCGCAGAGCTATGCTTTTAACTCCCTCCTCTGCAATCTGCATGTATTTATTTGCACTGAGTACACCACTAATCTACAGATTATTCTATTCATATAGCACACATCTCTATCCATCTATCTATCTATCTCTCTATCCATCTCTGCTCTTTTTTTATCACTCGTTGATCCCTCACTATCCATCTCTCCTTCCCATTCATATTATCCATCATCCCATCTAATTCCCACCCATCACTATCCGTCTCTCCTTCCCATTCATATTATCCACCTTCCAATCTAATTCCCACCCATCACTATCCAGCTCTCTAATCGAATTCTCACCAATCACTATCCATCTCACCAATCACTATCCATCTCACCAATCGAATTCCCACCAATCACTATATATCTCATCCATATCTAATTCTCACCAATCACTATCCATCTCACCAATCTAATTCTCACCAATCACTATCAAATTCACCAATCTAATTCTCACCAATCACTATCAAATTCACCAATCTAATTCTCACCAATCACTGTCCAGCTCTCCAATCTAATTCTCACCAATCACTATCCATCTCACGAATCTAATTCTTACCCATCACTATCCAATTCACCAATCTAATTCTCACCAATCACTATCCAGCTCTCCAATCTAATTCTCACCCATCACTATTCATGGCAGTAAGAATTGATATTTACTGACCAGAGTTAATTCTACCTCTATTAATAGCATCATTCTCATAATTGCTTGAAATCCATCTCTTCAACCGAATTCACACCAATCATCCCTCTCTCCAATATCAGTATCCACCTCATTTCCATCCCTCACTATCCCGTTAATGTTCATCTAATTCACACTCATCACTATGTAGCTCCCACACATCACTATTCATTTCTACATCTAATTCCATCACTATCTCCCCAATTTGATTCCTATCCTTCACAATCTATTTTTGCAATCTTATAGCCACCCTTTACTATCCATCTTCCCAAATCCACTTCTCACTCATCAAAATCCATCTCCCCAATCTAATTCTCACCAATCACTATCCATCTTCCTGAAGGATTTCCCACTCTTCACGTTCAATGCCAGTGGGAGAAATACACAGACCAGAGTTTGTAATAAAATCAAGCTAATAATTCCCACTTGGCATTATATGTCTCTCCATCTTTCCAGTGTAATTCTTATCCCTCAACATCCATCTTTAATACCATTTCTTCACTCTAATTCTCATCCATCACCTTCCATCTCTTCATCTAGTTCCCACCCATCACTTTTCATCTTTCCAATCTCATTGCTTCTCTCACTAGCCATAATTCCCATTTCCTTTCTCTGACTATCCATCTTCCCCATCTAACTTCATACTATCGCTATTCATTACCCCAATCTAATTCCATCACTATCTCTCCAGTCTAATTCCGTTAATTCCTAACAACCACTTTAATCAATTTTCATTCATCGATATTAATCTTTTCTATTGAATTTAACTCTAATCACTTTCCAGTCCTCCAACCTAATTCAGCTCCATGTTAGTAAATCTCGTCTATTTATTTGTTGTTCTCCTAACCCCTTCTTTTATTCCTGCAGTTGAAATACCAAGAAAAACCATTCAGCTGCCCTGGATTTAGCTTCCCCTCATGGCAGGAGCCTGGGCTTCCAACAGCAAGTATGGGCTTCAAGAAATGGAGGTGCCTGTGCTCAGGGGAGCGGCTTCTGCTGGCCAGAAATGCATTTTCATCCATCTCTGAATTCTTCCAGCTCATCCAAGATGACCAGTTGTCATTGAACCCACAAGCCACAGATTTGCATCAACTACTAGAAGCTGCTCGGTGGTCCTCAGAGGCCGTGCTTAATAACCTTGTAACTGCTTTTGAAATGTTAGGCTTTCAACCTCCACCATTGCAGCCAGACACCTTGAGCTGGACTTCGGCAGGAGCCACCAGCTTCCAGAAGAAGGTGCGAGGTTATGTGCTCTGCAGAGAATACAGAGACTGGCTTTCAAGAGTGGCCAAAGACATGGATATTTTGAATGGGACACGTAGAGGGAGACAGACTTTTAACCAGGAGAGGAGAGACTGCTGTAGGTCCTCAAATGTTAGCTAAATGATTACACAGAGAGAAAACAGGATGTTTCTTATTGTGTAGGTGTAGGGCAGACTTGCAAAGGACTGCAGCAGGAATTAGTGGAATTCAGGCAGAAAGAGATAGGACTGAAACGAGATCAGACGCAGCATCATTGGTGGGGGGACAAGAGACTGCAGCATGACCAGGAGACAAGGGAAGAGAGAGAAGGGACCCAAATGATGAGCAGAAAAGAGGGTGAACATGAAAAAAGGAGGTACATTGTGATAACCTTTTTTACAGACTGACAAGGAAAATTATAGAGAAAAATAGTTTAGAAACCAGTTTTTCCATCACGAGTTCCAAGTTGTGTAAACAGAGATCACAGTGATACCAGTTATCTCTCATTAACAAACACTTTACCAGTTATCATGAACTGTGCCTTTTACGCAGTTTGCAGGAAAAAATAAAAATTCTTTTTTTTTTCAATGTGTACAAGGTCAGAGAATAAAATATAGCACAGATAGAATAAATTAATGTTCCAAAGAAATAGCTTCACTTAGTGATTCACACCCAGGTGGAGACAGGAGCGTCTACTAATAAATATCCAATTAAAACAGCTCCCACTGGTACTAATGTTTCAAAGAACATAACTCGGTCAAATAGCCCAATCAGGATGGGATCCACTTCTACGAATCAGTTACAGTGACAGAAAGAGGGGGAAAAGAAAGAAAAATGAGAGAAAACGTTAAGAAGAGAAAACGTTAGTACAAGTTAATTTGGTAAAGGAGTCGTTTCCAGTTGGCTTGGGAAGGAAAGTCAACCTCATATTTCTTGCTAGATGCTACTCCAATCAATCGGCCGATCTCCAGATAGCAATGTTCCCATAGAAGTTAATGGGAGAAGTGCTACTCAGTAACCAGAATAAGCTTTATCTCTTGTAAATAGATATTTCGATAAGGAAGCGCAGTTGATGCCCAGGCGTTTGTCTTTGTGATGATTGATGAGTAATGATTTGGATACTCGTCCTTACTCAGAATATTTCAAAGTTATCTTTTACGGAATTTGAACTAATTGCAATTTAGCCGGGCATTGTACCTGTACTGGCTAGCAGAGTATTACAACTGTAGTGGCTAGCAGAGTATTACACCTGTACTGGCTTGCAGAGTATTACACCTGTACTGGCTTGCAGAGTATTACACCTGGTGTGGCTAGCAGAGTATTACACCTGTAGTGGCTAGCAGAGTATTACACCTGTACTGGCTTGCAGAGTATTACACCTGTACTGGCTTGCAGAGTATTACACCTGTACTGGCTTGCAGAGTATTACACCTGGTGTGGCTAGCAGAGTATTACACCTGTACTGGCTTGCAGAGTATTACACCTGTAGTGGCTAGCAGAGTATTACACATGTAGTGGCTTGCAGAGTATTACACCTGTAGTGGCTAGCAGAGTATTACACCTGTACTGGCTTGCAGAGTATTACACCTGTAGTGGCTAGCAGAGTATTACACCTGTACTGGCTTGCAGAGTATTACACCTGTAGTGGCTAGCAGAGTATTACACCTGTACTGGCTTGCAGAGTATTACACCTGTAGGGGCTAGCAGAGTATTACACCTGTACTGGCTTGCAGAGTGTTACACCTGTAGTGGCTAGCGGAGTATTACACCTGTACTGGCTTGCAGAGTATTACACCTGGTGTGGCTAGCAGAGTATTACACCTGTAGTGGCTAGCAGAGTATTACACCTGTACTGAGCTACTAGAGAATTTAACTTCTGTAAATATGCAGACTATTGCACTTTTCTAAATAGAGGCACTATACTGATTGTGAATGATTTATTTGTTTTTTCATGTTTATTTCATATGTGTTTAACTTATTTTTTTATAAATAAAAATATATTTTTATTTATTTATTGAGATTTATTTATATAAAAAATAAATAATGATGTGCAATTGGACATTAAAGTGCACAAAGTTATAGTATTATAGCAAGGGGTAGAGATGTGAGGGGTACAGCAGGGAGATACAAGACATGGGGTACAGCAGGGAGATACAAGACATGGGGTATAGCGGGGAGATACAAGACATGGGGTACAGCAGGGAGATACAAGACATAGGGTAAAGCGGGGAGATACAAGACATGGGGTATAGCGGGGAGATACAAGACATGGGGTATAGCGGGGAGATACAAGACATTGGGATATAGCGGGGAGATACAAGACATGGGGTATAGCGGGGAGATACAAGACATGGGGTATAGCGTGGAGATACAAGACATGGGGTATAGCGTGGAGATACAAGACATGGGGTACAGCAGGGAGATACAAGACATGGGGTATAGCGGGGAGATACAACACATGGGGTACAGCAGGGAGATACAAGACATGG